AAGGTTAAATCAGATATATTGTGGGGTAAACCGACTTTTTTATGCGAACAGACACTTGTCTTTATTTATGGCGAAACAAGCCCGTTTTATAACAAATTTTTACATGTGGGGGGAGAACAAGATAGAACTTTTCTCTAATCTACTCTAAGCCTGCAAACCAAAGCATGCCACTTTTGGCTTTGCCTGGCTCTCTGTTTACAAACAGATGGGCTCGCCATTGTAACGATTAATTTTTCCTGTGTCTTCTCACTTCCGTATTTGTCTAATTCTTTAAGTCGTCACTCACCTTCCATAATTGTACCATCATAGTCATGTTAATCTTACCTTAGTAGTATTAGGCATTATTACGTATTCTTGTGGCTTAATTCCTGCAAGTGCGTCGTCGCTAAAAAAATAGCGTCAGCGTTAAATTAATATCGTCAACGCTAAATTAATATCGTCAACGCTAAAATTATAGCGTCTACGCTAAAAACCTTATGATTACGTTCTAAGAAATTAACATGTATATAAATGCTTGTTCTCGCCCTTTGATAGGAGAACATTCGCTCTCCCAAAATTTCTCAATAAATAAAGCTCATATATATTCACACTCTTTTTTATCATAAATGCCTAATAAATCATGAATATCCGAATATCTAATTAATCATGTGATCCTTCTAACTCAACCATCGGAGTTAAACTCGGCATGACAATAGCAAGCTCTCCCTTACGATGGTTACACCATGGATTTGCCGATTGTGCCTCATCTTGGGTTCCATTGTTCTGTGGTCTTAGGGCCATCTTTTATCACAGATGCAACCATGATATCTTTGAGATTCTTGGCAATTTCCTTCAAAAATCTCATCTTATTGCTGTATTGGGCTAGTCAGGGCTTGGCGTTTATCTTGTGGAGAGGGCTTTGGGGGAAAACTAAATTTTCTCAATTTCTTGCCGATTTCATGGGCTCCAATTCAGGTCTTTTGTTACGATTTTAGGCCTCATGATGTTGAATTTGACATGGCAAACTTTGGCAGTTTTGTCACCAACAATACTGCTTAATTTTACACATCCTGTAAAAAATTAGCTTGGCAGCTGTATGCTTCTAAGTTCCAAGAACTTTACTACAAAAAAAAATAAACTAACCAAAAATTTTTTTTTTATGCTTTTTTTCCCTAGTTTTTTGTATAGGTCTTTTCAAGTGCTTTACCAGGGCTAACTTTATTTGTCTTCCCCTGGATCAAAGACCAGGGCTCTGTTTCATAATGGTAAGTATGGAGTGACTTTTTCTGATTAACTCTTCATAGTGGTTCAGCTTTTACCATTTTTTCCTACCTGCCGTCTTTCTGTTCTCCTTATAGAGACCTTTACAGGCTACAATCTTTATAATGTATACAACCAGGGTTGCTTTCTTTGGCTTTATATCTTTTTCTACAAACTTTGTCACAACCCAACTGGAGGCAACGTCAAATGTCAAGCCTTGTAGTAGTATGAAATCCACCCTCCTTATTTCATCCAAATTACCCACAATTTCACTTTGGCTTATGCCATTCTTTTTCTTCTATCTTTTACAGTCTTTTTTAGAACTTATTCCTTCATGGCTATAAGGTCGACTAGAGTTAAAATGACCTTTATAATTACCTTCTTCAGCATTTTTCAAACACTATTTGAATGTCTCATCCTTTTCAATATTGATTCCAGGTTTGTAGAAATTTCTGACTTGATTTTTATTAAAGTTATTCAGCTTTGCAGTTTTTTAATAAAGGCTGTATGCCTTATAGATATTCATCTTTTTTATCACCTTTCTTGACTCCAGTTCCATTTTGATAACAACTATCAGCCTTCAGTGTATTTCCGACTTCTACAAGTTTCTTTCCAGTAAGTATTTTTTCTTCGCCCTTTTTGTTTTACTGATTCATTCATCAAAATTCTTCAACTTTTTTCACCCACACTTCATAGGCTTTTTTGAGATTGTTCTTTTCCAGAAAACACCCAGCTTTCTTTTTTCTTATTCAATTTAAGCTCCAATGGAGTTTTTACAGGGTTTAGGTCAAAATCCCGATAAACAAAATCTTGACAGGGTCAAAATCCCAACAAAATTGGCCAGGATTAGCTTAATGTTGGTCAATTTTTTAGGAATTTTGACTCCGTCGGGATTCTTATTTTTTGAATTTTGACCCAAACCCGTTTTTACAAGGTGCTTCTACTAACACCTTTTCTCCTTTTAATCTAAGTTTATTCAATTCCATTTCATCCACATTATTTACTGTAGCTGTTTTCTGATAATTAATGAATACCTTATACTTATCCCTTCTATTTCACTTTCTTTATTTTCACCTTTTTCATCTACTTTAACTCTTACACTTTTTTTATTTTTTTCAACTTCACTTTCTTCAGCTTTGATTTCTTTTTTTTCATCCCTTTTATCTAACACTATTTTTTTTATTTTTTTCAACAATTCTATTTTTATTTTTATCTTTTTCAACCTCACTTCCATCTTCCTTTTTGGTACTGATTTTCCTTTTAATTCTGCTCATTTTTTATCCTTCTCAACTCTGCTTTTTTTATTTTCTTTCTTTTTATTACCAATTTCTTCCTACCTTTTATTCTTTTTAACTTTATCACCTTTCTTTTCATCTTTCTTAACTTTGATTTTCTTACTATTGCACTTGACTTTAATAATTACATTTTACTATTACTAGTCTATTATACAATACCTGGCTTTAACTCGTTGACTTCAATTTACTACTAATTTATTACATCATTATCATCACAATCTATTACTTAATTTCACATTTTCAATGTCATCAATAAACCTATGACTTGCCTTTATACTAGCTAATCTATCACATAATCAATATTCACAGTCATAACACATGATTTCAAATCTTTGAACCCAACACAAAATACCAAGTTATAGGTATATTGTATCTTTTTTTTTTTTTTTGCAAGCATCTCGATTTTTTTCAAAATTTAATGCTTTTCAATTTTATACCCACACCACATATTATAAATACAACTTCTATTGTAAATTTCGATTTTTATCACAGGTCCAATTCTGTTATATATAAAATTTTAATCTTTGTTACAGATTCAATTCTGTTGGTTTAGCAAATATCAATTAAGTCAATTGAAATCACCCTCTCATATTTTACATTTCATGCATTAATAGCAAAGTAAAATCAGCCAAAATATAAAATCTCACCAAATTAGAACCAATTTTTTTTCGAAAAACACACCTTTACTAAATTAGAATTCACAAAAATCAGTATAGCTAACATAATACTCACATCAAAAAAGTTGAGCAAAACAATTTCTCTCACATTTCATGTGATTATACTTAAAATGAAGATTATTGTATACTTAGACATAGCAGATTAAAATTTGCTAATTGACGAATGATCTACAGGATCTAACACCACATTTCACTAATAATTGTGGCAGATTATAATGAAATAAGATCATAATAAAATGGGCTTTTTTTTGTATAATATGTTACGGGACTTCTGTATAACATGTCACGAGACTTTCCATGTGACATGTCACAAGACTTCCCATATGACATGTCATGGGATTTCTCGTAACACGTCACGAAACTTTCTGTGTGACATGTCACAGGATTTTTTGTAACACATCACAAGATATCTGTGGGACATATCACATGGATATCCCGTGAGATGCATAGATAATTCCATGTAATGAATATAAGGTTTGATTAGTAATCAGAAAATTAAGAAGTTAAATCATAGCCTATATAATAGAAAAGATCATTACTTACTTTCTATTACTATTTTTTCTAAATACTGCCATGCATTCGATTTTTGTGCTTCTTTGTTGAAATCGTCATTGTCTTGTCGTGGTCTTGCCTTTTACGCTGGATTTTAACCCGGTTTTCTGCTTTCTGAATCACTACTGTCGTAGTCTTGTCTTTGCACACCCGGTTTTTTGCTTTCTGAATCACTAGTTGAGAATTAAGGTAATTAACAGGGTTATTTGTTTCAATCTTTTTTCAAAGTTTAATACTATATTGGTATACCTTCAATAGGTTCTTCTTGGTAGATATGATACCAGATCTCTATTTTTAATTCAAAGGCTTTAAAATAGTGGCTTTACACTTGAAATTTCTTAGAGAATTACGCCAAATGGATTTCTTATCATGTTTATATTCTTGCTTAACAAGACATTGAAATTCGATATATGCTGGTATTTCATAAACGGTTGAATTTGATGTCTTGTTTATCTGTTTTGATAGTATAAAGCCTGAGATCTTTGCTTTAATGAATTAAGGTGTTCTTTGAATGCTAAATTATTGATTTTTTTAAAGTTTAATACTGTGTTGGTATATCTTCAATAGGTTCTTTTTGGTAGATATAAAACTAGATCCCTATCTTTGATTCGAAGGCTTTAAATAGTGGCTTTATGCTTAAAATTTCTTAGAGAATTACACCAAACAGATTCCTTATCACGTTTATATTCTTGCTTAACAAGACATTGAAATTCGATATATGCTGGTATTTTATAATCGGTTGAATTTGATGTCTTGTTTATCTGTTTTGATAGTCTAAAGTCTGAGATCTTTGCTTTAATGAATTAAGATGTTCTTTGAATGAAATTATTGATTTTACCAGTTTATTTAACTTTATTCCACTCTTTAGATCTACATTCTTATTTAGGTTGGATGGTCTTTAACAAATACTTCAAGTTAATATTTGTTGGAAGGAGCTAGATTGGTATTGAAATGTAAGGGAAATTGATTTTCACAAATTATTTTTTACAAAATACCAATTTCTGTAATACTTATCTCAATTTTTTTTTGATTTTTAAATTTATTTTCACTATATAATATATTTGAATGCTGTTATGTTAGTTCTTTGTCAAATAGTATGCTTCTATGATTTTTTTTTTTCACAAAATACCAATTTCTATAATATTTATCTTTCAATTTCTCTTTGATTTTTAGATTTCTTTTCACTATATAATGCATCTGAATACTGTTATATTAGTTCTTTGTCAAATAGTATGCTTCTATGATATATATTTTTTTTCTACAAAATACCAATTTCTATAATACTTATCTTTCAATTTCTCTTTAATTTTTAGATTTCTTTTCACTATATGACGTATTTGAATACTGTTACGTTAGTTTTTTGTCAAATAGTATGCTTCTTTAAATTTTTTTTTTTCATTTGCTGTATGTCTTATCTATTTAAACTTATATCGTCTTATACTAACTGGAATTATTTTTAGTTAGTGCATCTCCTGTGCATAATTACCAAGCAAAGCTATATGTTTCACTTTTCGCCTATCAAGAATATTCGTCACTAGTATGTTTTACACATTATATGTGTTAATATTGTGCTAGTTGTTAGTATATATCTTTAACCTTCAAAATTGAACATATAGTTCTTTACCATCAAAGCCATCGCTATCTGTAGCATTTAATATTTTTCACCAATAGATATCATCACTTTTAGTACGTTATCTATTTGTTAAAGTCACGTTGATTGTTAAAGTCATGCTGATTTGTTAAAGTTGTGTCGATTATTAATTCTAACTATTCGTGTTTTACATATATTTTTACTTGTCTTACCAGTGTTATCCCTTAAACCGTCTAGCGGGCAAATTTGCCTGCTAAAATGATTTTTGAAAAGTTTTTTTGAAATTTCTCAAAA